CCTGCTCCCCTCAGCCCTGCTGACCCCGGGCCACCTGCTCCCCTCAGCCCTGCTGACCCCGGGCCACCTGCTCCCCTCAGCCCTGCTGACCCCGGTCGGCCCTGCCCTCCTCATCCCAGGTCTCCCTGGTCCTCCTCCCCACCTCCTAGAAGCCTGTGTGGGTTCACCCCACTCTCTCACCACCCTGCACTCTGGGGAACAGGGCGAGTAGGGACCAGGGCAAGGGGCTGTGGTGGCCAGAGGCTGGAGGGTAGATGGGAGAAGGGGCAGGCAGGCAGTGTGGAGCTGGCCTGGGGGGGCAGGAAGGGTAGGTGAGACTCAGGGGCTGTGAAGCTGGCCCCACGGGAGAAACTCTGGGAGCAGACGCAGCTGTCCTCACGGGGTGTGGCTTCTCCAGGGTTTTGAGCTGCTGGTTTGACAACGGCCCCGTGGGTGGAGAGTGGTCAGGACAGTGCGGGGCAGGCATCTTGGGGTGGCAGTGCATCCAGAACTGGGGGAAGGGGCAGGCGAGGGCTGTCAGGAGGACACGGGGCAGGCAGGGTCGAGGAGCCCGGTCAGCAGCCGTGCTGAATGGGAGTCAGTGCTGCGTGTGTGCTGGGTACCGCTCACTCCCATTGTTTGCAGATGTACAACTTCACCAGCTTCACTGTGACCCTCAATGAGCTGCAGGACGGCATGGAGGAGAGCCTGCCCCCCACAGACTGCCGTCTGCGCCCTGACATCCGAGGAATGGAGAACGGCCACATGGGTACATGTGCTTCCTCGGCCATTCCGGAGGTTGGGAGGAGGTGACTGACATCCATCCTGGTGGAGACTGAGACCATGTGCTTGGACTGTGCAGCCCCACACGGCCTGTCCTTAGTGCATCCCCCACGAGTAAATGCAGGGAGATTGCGCAGAGCACAGCGGCTAGCCCTGAGTGACCACTGCTGTGCATTAGTGTCCATGAAGGAAGCCATTCACACCTCAGCCACAGTGGGCGACAGGGAGCTGTGGGTCCTCAGCCAGCACAGAATGTTCGTGTCTGAACATCAGATGCCAAATCAAGCAAGTGAACCTCACAGCCACCCACCTTTCTCTGACGCTGGGCACCAGAGCATATCTGCTACAACCCACTACTGCCCAGTGCCCTCGAGCTCGCCGCGACCCTCCACTGGGTTCTGAGGCTGTAAATGTTAGCCTCCAGCTGCCCCAGTCCCACCTCACAGATGCCTGTGGAAGCAGCTAGGAAAATCAAACCCCCAACCTGATGGTAGCAGCCCCATATGTAAGCCCCTGCATCACCTGGTCCCTTCTGTCTCGTGAGGCGAGGGTCACAGAGGCATCACTTGGGAGTGAACCTGGCGGCAGGCCTTTTGCTGGCTGTGTTAGGTAACAGTCCCGTCCACGTTCCGACATACACATGGCCTTGAGCTGCGACATGCAGAGCACGCTGAAGTATGGGTCCGGCTCCTGGCTCTTTCTGCACTGGGACGTGTGCCTTCTACCCCGGGGCCTGGCTGGCTGTGCTCTCCTGACTCTGTAGGCCTCAGTGACGTCCTGGATTGCGGTGGCTGGTTTCTGGATCACGCTATTTTTTCGCAGACTGACCCAGGCATGACTCGGGTCTGCAGGGGTGTCAGGTGCTCTTCTTGGCCTCCTGACTGTGTCTCTGAAGGAAAGCAGGGCTACTCCTTACCCAGTCCTCACCTGGGCCTGTCTGCTTGACCCTAGATCTGGCGAGTCGAGAGAAGGAGCGTCTGGAAGAGAAGCAGCGTGATGCCCGGCGGGAGCGGGCCCGAGAGGAGATAGCCTGGCGGACAAGGTGGGGGCCAGGGGCCAGGGTGGGGGCCAGGGCCCAAGAGGAGATGTCCTGGTGGACGAGGTGGGGACCAGGACCTGATGTGGGGGCCAGGGCCCGAGAGGGGACGGCCTGGGAGACAAAATGGGGGCCAGGGGCCAGCGTGGGGGCCAGATCCCGAGAGGGGACGGCCTGGTAGACGAGGTGAAGGCCATGGCACAAGGTGGGAGCCTGTGGGACAAAGTAAGCAGTGAGTGGACAAGGTAGGGCCTGGGGAGCGAGGTCGGGACTGGTGGACATAGTGGCTTCACAATGAACATGGCAACAGTAGCCACCAGATCATCATGATGGCCCCTGTCCAGGAGCATCAGGTGGCTGGGGCCAGTGCAGTGGACGTCATGTCAAGTAGGGTCCATTTGACATGATCCATGGCCGGAAGCAAGGTCCTGGCTTTAGAAGGGACAGCTCACGTGATGCCCTGTCAAGGGAAGCTCCACGTGCAGCCAGCATGTGGTGCCCATGGTCCCTCGCTGTGTGACCCTCTCCTACAGCAGGCCCAGGGAGATGCTGGCCCTGGAGGCCACCCCACACTCGTGACACCATACCACATCGCTTCGTGTCACATCACATACTCAAGTCACCCCCGCCAGGTCATGCTCCATCCAGGTCACACTACGCACACCATGCCAGGTCACATCACGTGCACAGTACACCGTAGGATGTGACACCGCACACACCACGCATGCCATGACTCTCACCACACCAGGTCACACGACATCCACACTACACTGTAGGACGTGACAGGCCCACACCACGCCATGACTCTCAACGCCACACCAGGTCACACTGCATCCATGTCACACCACAGCACACCAGGTAGCATGGTGCCCCTCCGGCCACATCACGCCTTGCTCTCTCACCACACTGCGTCCGTATCGTGTCTTCCCATCTTGCACTGCGTCGCGCTGCAGCAGGGCATGTGCCGTCAGTGGCATCCCAGCTCAGCACAGCGTTGGCACACAGGGTACACACCGTGGGACGGACACGGCATTCCTCAGGCTGCTTCACGTGAGAGCCTCGGACCTCTCATTCTGTGGGTTTTTTTGTCCCCACTTTGTGGGCCTCAGTCACCAAAGTGCTGCATTCTTTGTGCATGTCTGTTAATACTTTGCACACAGATTCCTGCCAGCACTCATGGCTCATGCACACTTTCCACGTTCATACTGTCCACACAGATGTGTGAACACTCATGGCTTGTACGTGCATCACACGGGCTGAGAGGCACGTTCGTGGCACCGCCTGTGGTGTGCGTGCACTGCCAACCAAACGGCCTCACTTCTCAGGCGGTTCGAATCCATGAGCTGCTCTGAAGGGAAAAAGACGGGCATTCTGAGCTTTACAGGCTCGAAAAGCCGGCGGGCAGCTGTGTGAGTTGGACCTGACTCGAAGGATGTAGGGTCAGGCGGATGGCATCTCTGGAGCCCCCGGTGGCTTTGAACGGCCGCAGACGTGCCATTTCCCATCAGGCACTGCTTCGGAGCCTAATCCCCAGCAGCGTCCCCACTGTCTTCAAGTGGCCGACAGCTCGGGTTCCTGATTTAATTACTTGGTGGTCTTAAAGGTTTGATCTTGGGATTTGCCCTTGTTCAAAGAAAAACAGCTTGGCCGTATTATCCTTGTTTGGTTTCATGTATTAAATTCAAAACCTGTGTTGTGAAAACAACATTTTGTCCTGAGCGGTAAGCACTGTAGCTGGCTCTCCTAGCCTGTCCTCAGTGGCCATCTGCACAGGTCCTGAGTCCTTCTGTCACATGCTTCTGCTGGGAAAGGGCAGGGCACTTGTCCTCTTGTTCAGGGCACGAGGCCATCCAGGCGGGAGGCTGTGTGGACACAAGGCTATCTGGGCACATGGTTGCAGGGCCTCAGAGCTCATGGGCAGATATGAGGCCAACTAGGTGGATGGGTGCATGGATGTGAGGCTGTCCAGGTGGGTGGGCAGATGCAGGGCCATCCATGTGCATGAATGTGAGGCTATCTGGGTGTGGGACTATCTGGGCATGTGGGCAGGCGCAGGGCTGTCCTGGCATGTGGCTGTGAGGACCTGGGTGCGTGGACAGGTGCATGGAATAGGACTGTCTATGCGTGTGGACATGAGGCTGTGAGACCATCAGGCAGGCACATGGGCGTGAGCACCTCTGGGTGCGTGGGCAGGTGTGGAGCCATCCAGGTGGACAGGTGCATGGACATGGGGATGTCTGGGTGTGGGGTCATCTGGCACATGGGTGTGAGGCCATCTAAGTGGGCAGGTACATGGACATGGGGCCCTCCGGGCATGTGGACGTGAGGCTTTCTGGGTTCAGGGCCATCTGAGCTCATGGACACTGGAAAATCCAGGCAGGTGGGTGGGCACATGGACATGAAGCCATGTGGGCACTGGGCTGTCCAGTGTGGGCATGGGTCTGTCCCTGGTGGGAGGAGTGTTCCCTTTGCTCTCCCTACCACCACCCTCCTTGATTTAAGGACAAGAAGCACAAGTAATTCCGCTGCTTTAATGGAAGGTGTAATTGTCACGTTGGCCAAGTCCTCTTCCCAAAGTGTCCCCTGGGTCCAATCCAAGGAAAGGGTGCTGGCCGAGTGGAGGGGGGCGTGAGCGTGACCCAGGCAGCACAGGCTGTGCAGTGGCACCACGTCTGAGGCCAAGCCACATGAGTGTGGACAGCGTGCTGGGCCCGGCTGGCATGCCTCTCTCTGACTGGTCCCTTGTTTCCTGCAGGTGGTTCTACCAAGGCAACAACCCACACACGGGGACCCCTGATTGGTTGTACGCGGGGGGCTACTTTGAGCGGAACTTCTCAGACTGTCCGGACATCTACTGAGGACCAAGGGACCCAGGCCTGGAGCCTGAGACGCTGGCACACTACTGACGCCAAGCAGCATGGCGGGCGGTCCCCACTCCAGGGTTCCATCCTCGCTCACTTCTGATTGCCAAAATCTCCCTGCTGTCTCTTCATAAAGCTTCACTTGAGATCATCATGTTTCGTTGAGGTTTAAACCAGAAAACTTTCCTCTGTCCCCTCACCTGTGATGACTGGCTGTGTCACATTCAGCTGTTAACACCTCTTGATTCCCGTCTGTCGCTCAAGAAGTCGAGGAATTTGCTTGCTGGGTGTGCTGATGCTCCCGTCTACGGGGGACAGGGAGGCAATGGACTTGGGAGTGGAGGCTGGTGGCACTGGCTGAAATGGAGGCCAGAGTCTATTTTTTATTAGTCCTCAATAATGTAAAGATTACTTTTTAAATATTTAAGTTTAAACGATTCAACTAGTACTTGAGTGGTATTTGCTGAAGAGAAAGAGATGTGTGAATTGGCAGCAGAACCCTGTCCAGGTGGAGAGCCCCCCCATAGCCTGGAACCCCAGGACCCTAAGACTGCATCCAACTGTCCAACATCAACCCAGCATCTAGTCACGCCCATATCCGCACCAAGGGCTGACCCTGGACAGAGTCAGGCTCCCAGCAGGCATTGTTCCTCAAACCCCGCATGTGGCCACTGCACTCCTGTGTTCTGTGTCCGCAGCCTGCAAGCTGGAGGCCTAAGACGCTCATGCCGGCTGCGGGGGAGGAGCACGACAGAGGCCACCCGCAGCGGCAGATTAAAGCTATTTCACGAAAACCCGGTGTGCACACTTACTGCTTGTGTGAGAGTCAGCTTCACGATCGGGTCCTCTGCATTGAGGAAAATCGACTGCTTGTGTGTAAATGGGTACATGCATGTGTGCACTGCACACACGTGTTGCAAATGTGTGGCTGTCCCCTGTGTGTGACACGTGCATGCATCACATACCTGCTCCGTGCACACAACCCCCACATGGACCCAGAGCTCCAAGGCCGGCATAGCGTGAGGCTGCGGCCACCGTGTCTTCCGTAGCCAGGTGTTTGTCATTAAACACTTTTTAAAACAAGCACAGGTTCTGAGAGCTTTGATTTCCTGAGTGGGGCCGAAGCGGTGCTGCTGGGCCATGTCTGGCACTGGTCCCACGCCCACTGTCCCACAGTCGCCCCAGGCATCTGAGCTACGAGGTTTAAATCCTACTCGTGAGTGCGGCATATGTGCCTAACAGGCTGCCTGTATGTGTGGCTCACCGCCCAGGGAAGGGCCAGCACTGTCCACACACAACTGCTAATATTGCAGACTGTGGCCAGGGTCAGTGGTTCCATCATGTTGGGTCTCACTGCCCAGCGACCTTTCCATGTCCTTGGGGCCAGGCCATCAGTGTTGTGGTCAGCCAGGGGCCACTGGTGGCTGATCCAGCGAGCACGTGTGTGCCTGTGTGTGAACGGTCCATGCTTGATTCCAGAGAGGAGGACAGGACAGGGAGCTCAGGTCACTGTCAGTCAGCACCAGTTTTGCTGGTGAGTCTGCAGGCCCTGACATGTGGAGATGCTGGCCCCTCAGCACAAGCAGATGTCAGACCTTGGCCCTGCGGGAGATGCCTTCCTGGGGCTAGGCACCCAGGCCCTATCAGAAGTCCCTTCTAAGACTAGCCATCTATACCAAATTAATACAGCAGCAGGAAGAGATGGTCAAGCCAGGCGTAACCATATGATTCAGTGTCTGTTAACCAGCCTACATGCCGTCTCCCATAAAGCAGCCGATTTTGATAAGCTCAGAGAGATCACCCAAACTAAAGAGGAGAACCCAAATGCTGTCCTTAACCGTCTCACTGAAGCCCTGACTCAGGATACCCACTCACACCCTACCTCCACAGCAGGGGCCACTGTCTTCATCAGTCAATCAGCCCCTAATATATATTAAAAACCCAAAAAAAAAACCCCACAAAACCTCAAAGGCTGAGGACAGCCCCAAACACCCATTCAAGTCCTGGTAAACATGGCCTTTAAAGGTTTCAATGCCCAAGAGGAACAGGCAGAGGCCAATAGGGAGACTCAAGCCCTCCAGAAAGTGAATCTGCAGACTCAAGCCCTGATAGCTGCCCTATAGGCAGCAGCAGCTGTGAGTGGTCAGAAAACACCTCCCCGTTCCACGAGCCAGTTACCTCCTGGTGCATGTGTGGCCAGAAGGTCATTTGGCTAACTGCTGCCCTGACCCTAGCTCTCCAAGACTGCCTTGTCCTACCTGAGGGACACTGGGCCATTGGAAAGCTGACTGCCCTTCAGTGCCTAGCTGCGGTAGGATAGCCCCTCCACCAAACCTGGTCCCCATCCTGGCTGACCTCTTAGGCCTGGCTGCTTAAGATTGAAGATGTCCAGGTTCAATGACCTCCATCACCATTGCAGAGGCCAGGGTAACCCTTCAAGTAGCAGAGTAAAAGAAATGACCGACTTAATGGTGAACCAGCTGCTATTACATCCATATTCTCCCCTGGGTACTGATCCCAGGCTGTCCCAATCCAGCCTCTGAGCCCCAGATCTTCACCCTGTTCAGCAGGAAGTAGCCAGAAAGAACACAGCACCCTTTTTTTCTTACTAAAGAGGCTTACACTTAAAGACGGTACTTAACAACAATAACCTCAACATCGATCAGCTGGCCTAGTGGACAGAAGGCGATGCTACCAAGCCGAAGGTGGGTGACTTTTAATCTGCGGCCCTCGGGCCCATCTTGCATTGTTTTTGTTCAGACATTCCTCTAGGTCGTATAGCCCTGGTGTACAAGTTGCCGTGCAGCGGTAACTTGTGGTTGCTGTGAGGCTGAACACTGTGACACTGATGTGTGTCAAATGCGTTAATGGCTGGTTACCCAATGTGGACAGAGTGGGGTGGAGCTACCCAACCAATTAAAACAAGGAGTGACATCTACTTCTGTAATAGGGTTTCCGGAAACCCTGTGAACCTGGAGAGAGGATGAGAGACACCCAAGCGTTGAAGACTCTCCTTCCTTAATAGGGTCGCTATGAATCTGCAACTCCAGGGCACTTAACAACACAACAACAAAGAGGCTGGGATGTCAGGCCTGGACCAAGGTCAAAGGGAGAACAAAAGATTCAAGGAATATCAACATGTCAATGAAGAGCGTGAACAGCCTCATCCATCTGACTAACATGGAATGTCCCTCCCTTCCCTCCTTACTATAAAAACCCTGCCCTAATCAGGAGTGGCATCCACTTCTGAAATGGCTTGCCTCGGGAAACTCTATGTACGAAGAACAGTGCTCAGGCCTTTCGTTCATAGGGTCGCTATGAGTCGTCTACGGCACCTAACAACAACAACAATCTTGTCTGTCTCTCTCTAGACCAAAGAATTCCGCCTGGGAGTCCGCTTAATAAAGCTGCTTTAGCTTAAAAAAAAAAAAAAAAGACCAGCCTTCTAGGGTAAAGTGTAGCAAGTGTCCTTACTCCAGGGCTTAGCACCTGGGGATTCCAGACAAAACTCAAGAGAGGGGATAGGTTTCTGTACAAGACAGTGTTGTGTCCACCACTGCTGACCACACTAGCCTCTGCTCTCGAGTTGTGCCTGGTGCTACATCAGCCCAGAAACTAGGGCTGTCCCCACACCATCGGATTATGTTCCAGGCCCTCTGCACTCCCCAGTCACAGGGGCCCCCAGCCATCCTAGCATTCTACCAGGAAAGTAGACCCCAGAACCTGCTCATCTGGAGGGTGCATGGAGCCTCAGCCCTCCGCTGCAGGAAGTGGTGGAGTGAGCTCCTGCTGTGTGGCTCATGAGCCTTCAGCAGAGGCAAGTCCTCCTGCTGTATGCCGCCTGCGGAGCCAGGAGGCCAGCAGGAACAGCCCTGTCCCCCCCCTCAGACTGCATCCCCGTGGTCCTTGGCTGGCTGGGCTCAGAGTCCCTGCAGGGTCACAAGTGGCCTGGGCAGGAGCTGGAGGCCCGGTGCTGAGCCTCAGGAGGTGCCTTGGCCAAATCGGGCCTCCAAGCACGGGTCTGATGGGCTGTAAACCATAGCTAGAGTCCCGATGGACATGGACCAGCATGGCGTGCCACCTGCTGTGGGAACAGAGGGCAGAGATGGAGCAGAACTAGGACGCTGACCCACCTCCCGCCAGGAATTCTGCGCCCAGAACATCTGAGAAGATGACTCAGGAGACGAAGGCACTGTGAAGCCAAGAACGAAGCACACTCACCTTTCTCTCACAAATTAGGTGTTAAGTAACATCAACACCACTTGTCAACATGACAATAAGAAACAGCTGGCTTTCCTTTGACAGAAAAAGGGGCGGCGCTTGGGCACCTAAGGACACGCTGTGGACAGGCTGGCTCTGCCAATCGGAGACCCCACTGTCTCCCAGGGGAACCCCGCCGCTGTTGATGCTACGAACGTGCCTGCCCTCCACCTGGTCCCCGCATGTCACGTTAACTCAGCACGACAGCTGATGGTTCCGAGCTCTGGTCACACGCACTCCCACCTTTCTGACCTAGGACTTTTCTGTCTGGTGCCCCCCTTTCTCCGGAGGACAACCCTCCGAGCAGAGAACTGCCCACAGCAGCCCTAGCGTCTTGCCGCACTGAGTCAGGTCTTAGAGGGGCTGCGAGGCCTCCCCGCCCCGCCCCCGCCCAGCCTCCAGGTGCACAGGGGCGTCCCAGGTGACCAGGACGAGCCCTGGGCCGGCCGCTGCCCCTGCGCACACCTGCGGAGACGGGGCTCCCTGCTACCCCACACCTGTGGCGTGGGGCCGCCGGCTCCCTGCACAGTCCTACTAACCGGGCATTTGCGCGCCCCCGCGGAGAACTCCGCCCTCTAAGCGCACCTGGACCCCGCGGCCCGCCTGCGCTTCCCGGCGCCGCCGCCAGGGGCCGCCGCCGCCCCCTATGACACAGCAACAATAGCGGCCGCTCTGGCCCGCGCGGCAGGCTTCCTGCGCCCCGCGGCGGGACCTGGCGATGGACGGCCCCCTCCGCCAATCGCTCGCGAAGAAAGGCTGATCACGCGCCCACGCGGGACCAATCGGCGGTCGGCGAGGCAGGAGGGCGGGGCGAGCGCGGGCTTCCGGCGGGGCCCGGCCGCCGCCGAGGAAGAAGAGCGCTCAGACTGCTCCTCTTCGCTGCTGTGCGCTTCAGGTGCGGCCCTGAGTGGGGCCCGGGGGCCGCCGGCTCGCGGGGGTCAGCGCGGCCGGAGGCCCCGCGGCAGGGACCCTGGGCCCGAGCCGGCCTGGCGGGGCCGCGGGCGCCGGGATGGGGGAGCGAGGGGCGAGGGTTTGAGGGTGGGGTCCGGGGCGGGGAGCGAGCGTCCGAGGTCCTTGGGATGGGTCCTGGGATTTAGGGTTTACGGGATGGGGGTCTTGGGGGTGCGGGCCGGGACGGGGGAGGAGCGGGGGACGGGAGGGCCGCGGGCCTTGGGGCGAGGGGCTCCGGGGGTGCAGCGGTCGCCGGGGGCCGGGAGCGAGGGTGGCAGGTGTGTAGGCAGCGGCCCTGGGGGTGGGGGTCCCCGCGATCGAAGGGGCCCGTGACCGCCGGTTCTTCTCCGGGCCCCGCCGTCCCCTGGGTGGGCTTTGCGGGACCCCCGGCGCGTCTGCTGGGGTGAAATCAGGTGCTCGGCGGGCCCCGGGAGCCCCTGCCCCGCGGAGAGCGGGACCCCCAGCCCGAGGCCAGCCCGGGTTTCAGGGACCCCCGTGGGGTTGAGCTGAGGTCCAGCGAGCAGCCCTTCACCCCGACTTTCTGGGTTCTGCCCCGGAGTTTGCAAGGGAGTCGTGTCCCGGCGCCTGCACCTTGGGGTGACGGGTCCCTGCTGGGTCCGCGCTGTGGGGCTCTCGGCCTTTCAGGAGAACCCCAGCTTTAACGGAAAGGCTGCAGGCCTGGCCGCTGGGCCGCCCTCCTGTCCTGACCACCCTCCTGTCCTGACCGCCCTCCTGTCCTGACCACCCTCCTGTCCTGACCACCCTCCTGGCCTGAGCGCCCTCCTGTCCTGACCACCCTCCTGGCCTGAGCGCCCTCCTGGCCTGAGCGCCCTCCTGTCCTGACCGCCCTCCTGGCCTGAGCGCCCTCCTGGCCTGAGCGCCCTCCTGGCCTGAGCGCCCTCCTGGCCTGACCGCCCTCCTGGCCTGAGTGCCCTCCTGGCCTGACCGCCCTCCTGGCCTGAGTGCCCTCCTGGCCTGACCGCCCTCCTGGCCTGAGCGCCCTCCTGGCCTGACCGCCCTCCTGGCCTGACCGCCCTCCTGGCCGCCGGGCTCAGCACCGTCTCTGCCGCAGGATGACCACTTCGGGCGCTCTGTTTCCAAGCCTGGTGCCGGGCTCCCGGGGCTCCTCCAACAAGTACCTGGTGGAGTTCCGAGCCGGAAAAATGTCGCTGAAAGGCACCACCGTCACCCCGGACAAACGGAAGGGGCTGGTGTACATTCAGCAGACCGACGACTCGCTCATCCACTTCTGCTGGAAGGACCGGACGTCGGGCAGCGTGGAGGACGTGAGTGGCCGCGGCGCTCTTGGGCTTGGTTTCCTGGGAGGTGGCTGTTTGGTGCCTGCCATCGGCCACGTCACCTGCTGGGGCTGTGACGGCACGGAGACGGCCGGTGTCCTCTCTGCTCTTAGCGTCTGGAGGAAACGTCATGGGCCGGGCATCCGGCTTGGCAATCTGCTCTCCAGAGAGAGCCGTTCTCTGTTGTAATTGAGAGCAGCTCAAGTCTGTGAAAGTAAATGTTGTGGAATTCCACGAATAAAAAAAGAAACTGCACACACACACACACACACACACACACACACACCACAGAGTTTGGAAGGGTGGTGACAGGGACCCCAGCATCGTTTCTGTGTGTGGTGACATCACTGCAAGGGAGGCCTCAGCTCCTCAGAGTACCTGAGCCCACCGGGCCCTGCTCTGCTCCGTCCCGGGCTCCAGGGCTGGTCCTAGGACTCCTGTCTCACCTGTCTCACCTCCGCGCTCACCTCCACACAATTACCTGCTTACCCACACTCCCCCTTGCACTGAGCTTGCTGTATTGCGGTAACTTGGGGGCTGTGATGCTGAACGCTGTGCCACTGGGGTGTCAAATACTGTAATGGTCGCCCATGGGCAGGGGTTGGCGGAGCTCCCAGATTCAGACAGACTTGGAAGCAAGATTGGCATCCACTTCTTAAATAACAGACCTTTGGAAACTGTGAATATTAGATAAATGATGATAGTTACAGAACAGGGTTCACTCGACGGCACCCGACTTCTTTTACGCATCCCACAGACACGGGTACTCAGTGCTCATGGGTCTGACTGTCCTTCGAGCAGTCGAGGGTCTCGCTGTGGGGGCTCACCTCCCACCCCCACCCATGTCTCGGCAGGACTTGATTATCTTCCCCGATGACTGTGAATTTAAGAGGGTGCCCCAGTGCCCTAGTGGGAGGGTCTACGTGCTCAAGTTCAAGGCAGGTTCTAAGCGCCTCTTCTTCTGGATGCAGGTAGGTCCTGCTGGGGCAGGGGGTACATGGTTTTGGGGTGGCAGGCCCCTCAGAGCTGACAGGTATGGCTGGTGTGACAGGGTCCTTCAGGAAGCATGCAGTCTGTGTCAGCGGCCTGGGTTCAGCACACTGCTCGCTGGCTGTGCTGGCCAGAGCTGACAGGCCCACGTAGAGCCGTTCCATTCACCCCATCCAGTCAGTCAAGCAGGAGCTAGCTCGGCCCCTTGTCCCACGTCCCAGGGTCCACCTGGCTGCTCAGGGACTGGAGGAGATGTGCCCGGTGACAGCCCGCCATGCAGTCATGTTCCCTCAAGCCACTCGTAGCCCTGATGGGCCCTGGGCACCGGTCCTTGGCAGCCTCCGAGGACGCGTGCGCGGAGCAGTGGGGGTAGTGCTTGTCCAGAAAACGAGGCCTGCTCTAGCCCCGAGCTTGATGAGCGGCCTCAGGTCCTCCCCTAGGAGCCCCACTGGAGGGTGGCCGCTTAGCCCACTGGGGCTGTTTGTCCAGGAGCCCAAGACGGACCAGGACGAGGAACACTGCCGGAAGGTTAACGAATACCTGAACAACCCCCCGATGCCCGGGGCGCTGGGAGCCAGCGGAAGTGGCAGCCACGAACTCTCCGCACTCGGAGGTAGAGCTGTGCTGCGGGTGGCATGTGGCCCGCAGACTCTCCCCTGGGCTGGTGCATGGGAGGGGTTTGGGCTAGAAGGCCCCTTCAAACTGTGGACCAGGTGGGCTGGGTAGTGTGTCCTTCTGCTGGGGGGACCGGCTGAGTATGGTGAAGGTGAAGGTGGTGGAGGCTGAGAAGCCTGTCCTGCCGTATGTCCTGCCATAGTTGCTGGCGGCGCAATGAGCACCCCGGTCCCCCACAGGTGAGGGCGGTCTACAGAGCCTCCTGGGGAACATGAGTCACAGCCAGCTGATGCAGCTGATCGGACCTGCCGGCCTGGGCGGCCTCGGTAAGTCCCTGCCACCATCGAGGGATCCACGTGGGTCAAGACACATGTCCTGTGCTCCCCCAGGAAGCTGTGAAGGGGCCCGGCCTGGCTCTTGGTCTGCCTGTGTCTGAGAGGAGTGCACTGTTGCTGAGGGCGGAGCTTAGCTGACACGTGATCAGGAGAGGGGCAGCAGGCCCAGTGTCTTCAGTGTCCATCATGGGCTTGTTGGTGGCCACCCCTGCTCTCAGGCTGAGTGCTGGAAGTGGCTGCTGTGTGACTGGACCTGAGCACTCAGCTTGATCTCTCTCACAGGTGGACTTGGGGCCCTGACTGGGCCGGGCCTGGCCAGCTTGCTGGGGAGTGGAGGTCCACCGGCCAGCAGCTCTTCATCCAGGTGAGCCCAGGCTCCCCCACACTGCCAGGAGTGTGTGCCCCGAGGATGAGACCCCCCCCCACAGCTGGACCACTCTGCACCCAAGGCCACACTGGCCTTGAGTGAGCGCTTGGCCCCAGATTCCCGCGCTCAGGCCCTGTGGCCTTCCCCACTCCACTGCAGTTCTCGGAGCCAGTCGGCCGCCGTCACCCCCTCCTCCAACGCCTCTTCTGCCCGCGCCACCCCAGCCCCTTCTGCGCCAGCAGCTGCCTCAGCGACCAGCCCAAGCCCCGCGCCCAGTTCAGGTAATGGGCCCAGCACGGCAGCGAGCCCAACCCAGCCCATTCAGCTGAGTGATCTGCAGACCATTTTAGCCACTATGAACGTGCCGGCCGGGGCAGGCGGCGGCCAGCAAGGTAAAGGACCGCGTGTCGGCTGGAGGCGGGGTGATGGTGCCTGCTGCCCTGCGCTCGCTTCCCACTCGCTGTCCAGGGCACGGGTCCAGCATGTCCGGCCATGTGGCTCTGCACGCCTCACCGGGCACTGTGGTGACAGACGCCAGCCCTGTGCTTGCCTTTGCCTGTGTCCTCACGGCTCGCAGCCTGGGGCTGGAGACCTGGGAGGGAGCCGGCCAGCACGCGGCTGCTGACGGCCGTGTCTGCGTTCTAGTCGACCTGGCCAGCGTGCTTACGCCGGAGATCATGGCACCCATCCTGGCCAACGCTGACGTTCAGGAGCGCCTGCTGCCCTACCTGCCGTCGGGGGAGTCACTGCCACAGACCGCAGAGGAGATCCAGAACACGCTGACCTCTCCCCAGTTCCAGCAGGTGATGGCAGGGAGGGTGGCCTCCGCTCCGAGCAGTAACCCTGGGCCCCCATAAGCTAGTTGGGCAGTGACCGATGCCCGCCAAGCTGGCTGGCCCTGGCTCCAACTGCAGCTCCTTCTCAGGCCCTGGGCATGTTCAGCGCGGCCTTGGCTTCGGGGCAGCTGGGCCCCCTCATGTGCCAGTTCGGCCTGCCTGCAGAAGCGGTGGAGGCTGCCAACAAGGGCGGTGAGTACCTGCGGGGGCTGCGGGTGGGACCCTGCCTGCTGCTCTGGGCGTTGGCAGTGCCAGGGGAGCTTGGGGGTCAGTCTGTTCTCACATACCCTAGATGTGGAAGCGTTTGCCAAAGCCATGCAGAACAGCGCCAAGCCAGAGCCCAAAGAAGGCGAGGCCAAGGACAAGAAGGACGAGGAGGAGGACATGAGCCTGGATTAGTTCTTTGTCCTGGTGGCCTTGGTGACGTGCACACCTCACCCTGTCTGAACTTCCTCATAAATAAAGCTCTTTTTGTTTTACCTGCAAACTTTGCTCTTTCATGTTTGGGGGCACTGCCCACTAGGCCCCTCAGTCTAGGTGGGGACCTGTGGTCTGTGCTGCCGGCCTGCTCTCCTGGACGCCGCTCAGTGGGGTTCTAGAAGACACGATCAAAGCCCCAGTACGTGTGCGAGATGAGACGGTGCTCTATGGACTCCACACACACTTGGCTGTGACAAGTTACTTTAATTTTCATTTGAGAAGGCAGCGACTAAAAAACATCACAGACCATTGGAGGAAAAAGTACAAAATCCTGTTTTGCTCTTAAAACAGTCCTAATGGAACCGGTTCTAGGGACCGATGGGCACCCCAAGTCCAGGGCATGGGGCTGTGTGGGCAGGCTGGGGTGGCTGCTGGGGCACCGGCGAGGGCTGAATCCAGCACGGGTCATGGAGGGGGGCTGTGATGTTCCACAAGTGGGCAGCCACTGGCCCCCACTGTCCCCTGGACATCCACAGGGTGTGTGATGGGGACTGGGGCTCCATTCACCTGCAAGGATCTCAAGCAGCCGTGGTAGGCTGGGGGCCGCAGGAGCAGGGACCCTGGGGGTGGGCAAGGGAGGAGGCTGCTGGGAACCCATAACCATGGCCACACTCACTGGGCATGCATGTCCCCCAGCCCCATAGCCCCCACCCGACAGCTCCCCCTCAGGCCCAAGGCCACACTCACCAGGCACCCCGCCCAGGTGCAGAGCCCTGAGGCCCGTGGCAGTGGTCTGTGCAAAGCTCCGGGTGTAATTGCTGCTCGAGTCCACCTCCAGCCGGGTCACAGCCTCAGTCTTGGTCACTGTGGGCACAGGGTCCCTGTGCTGGCACTCCAGCCAGGGTCTGCCCTCCCTGCCCAGCCCTGAGGGAGGTGCATCAGGGGCCTTCTAATGCCCTCCTGGGGCCTCTACAGGAGAGCTGGTACCAGGATGGGCTGTGGGGGTGTGACAGGGTGCACAGACGGGTGTGTACAGAGCAGGCCTGGTGAGCACGTAGCGAGTCCTGGCCCTTGTGAGAAGGGACTGCTGCCCACAGCCGGAACCCACCAGCGGCTCCGCGGAAGACAGCGATCTGTTTCCATGCCATTTACAGTCTCGGAAAACCCACTGGAGGGTCAGCTACGGGTCGTTTTGACCCCAGCACACACACATATGTCTAGAGTTAAGTGTGTAGGAGTTGTGTTATGTGCGGGATAATGGTACGTAGGGTGGGGTGTACGTGTGTAATGTTGTGAGGTGGCATGTGCTGAGGCATCCAAGGCCCCCCCATTCCTAACCCTGTCCTGTGGGGTGGGGAAGAGGTGGAACTCACCTGCGAGGTGATGCCAGCGCCCGTCACACAGTTCAGCGGGCAAGGTCACCAGAGTGGAGAACTTGGCTGCCCCGTCGTCCCCCTGTAGCAGGACCTGTAAGGTAAAGGGTGGGGAGGTCAGGAGGACCTGCCCACCTCAGTCCAAGGCCTGAGGCCACACTCACAGTGCTTACCTGCTTCCCCAACACCTGCAGCTGCAGGTAGGGGGGCATCTGGGCCTGGCCCAGATGGAAAACCAGGCCCTTGGCTGCCTGGGGCCGCATCTCTAGTCTCAGGTCCAGGCTGGGCCCCAGTGCCTCTGGAAGGTCTGCAGAGAGAGGGATGAGGAAGTGGGGGGGTGAGGGAGGGGCCCAGGCCCCTGACCCTGCTGCAGCCCCACCCCAGCCTGAGGTCCTGAGGAGAAGAGGTCTGTGCCTACAGACCTACAGTGATGACACCCCCACTGCCAGTGAAGAAAAGGCCTGGCTCCAGGGGGCCTGGGGAGCAGGGCGTGATGGCCCTCATCCTCACGGGGACCTCCAGCAGCTGCTTGTTCCATTTCAACTTCATCACACAGCCGCTGAACCCCGAGGCACTGGAGGCCAGCTGGGAAAAGAGGGGCAGGAGTTAGGCTCAGGAGAGCTAAGAAGGGGTTCCTTGTGGAGGGTCAGCTGGGGACATGGCTCTCACCGGGAGCTGGAAGCTATGGCCACTTGGGGGGAGGCCCCCTACAAAGAGGGCGCTGGGCAGGGGGCCTTGCCACCCCTTTTGCTGGTGAAGAGGCCTTTCCTGTCTCTGGACACGGACCCCGTCAGTCACCAGCTGGAGGTGACCCTGCGTCCAGTGCAGAGACACCTGGGGTGGACAAAGTGGATAAGGGGAGGTCAGTGGCACCCCAGTCCCTGTCAATGCCTCCCAGCCCTCCTCAGCCCACCTCCCAGCTCTCCTGGGTCCTGCCTGACCTCTTCCCAGCCTGCCCAGCACCCTTTTCTGGGCCCTGCCCGACCCCCTCCCAGTGCCCACCTTGTGCCATCGACCCATCTGTAACTGTCCCTGGCTCTTGACATGGAAATGGGGCCTGGGGCCTTCTGTCTTTGCGACCAGGTGTCCATGGCTCAGAAAGAGTGCCAGGGAGGGGCCGCCGGGCATCAGGGGGGCAGAGAGCAGCAAAAGGCCGTGGGAGGCACGTGGCCACACAAGCAAGGAGATGTGGGACCTAGGAACCAGAAGGGGGGTCAGCAGGTGGTGTCTGGCCCCTAGACCAGTCCTCCACCTTCTGCACCGGCCCCCATGCCCTTCTCCCCATGCCCTCCTGACCTGCCCAGTAGGCCTGCCCTTACCGGGCCCTGTGACTGACTGCAAATTCCATATAGCTGGTCAGGGGTCCCCCAAACTGATAGGCATCTCGGAGGCTCCTGGGGGATGGGGAGAGCCTGCAGGCAGAGTCCTGGACAGGGTACCGGACAGGATGGCGGCTGCGTCTGGAGGCCTGGGGGAGCAGGGACAATGGAGGAGCTGCCTGCCCAGCCCCCACTGACCTCCCCTCCCAGCCCCCCAGGATCAGCCCACCTTGTGCACTGGGGCGCGAATTCCTTGAGGCTCTGTCCTGGGGGTCCAGCCCTGGGGTGGCTGCGTGCAGCCTGCGGTCACGTTGTGAGCAGCTGTGCTGTGCTGCAGGTTGAGCACACGCTGTGGGCCCTGCAGCCTGTGAGGGGTGTGGAATCGGGGCTCACAGACAGCTCAATGCTACATCCCTATGGGGCAGGCTCACCCCCGAAGTCTGCTGCCTCCACTCCGGTTCAGAACACTCCCAGGGGCTCTCAATCCCACACTACTGCCCTTGTCCTGACTCCCCACCCTCCAGGCCCCTATCTAACCACCCTCACCCCCACCCTCCGCCTAGTCCTCCCCACAGCTCACCATCCATCTGACCTCCAGGGCTCTCAGCCCCCATCATGTTGCCCTTGGCCCAGCTCACTAACCCCCCATCTGGGTTCGCCATCCCCACCGCCCTTCGGCAACTGCAGCCCCCCCCCCCAGCTCACTGCTCCACAAAGACGTTGCTGATGCAGCCGCTGAAGTTGTGGACATCAGCGGACTTGTCTGAGCCACCCAGGAAAAGCTGGGGGGACTCCGCGGCAGTCCTCAGGCATGGCTGCTGGTGGGCACTCGTCTGCTGCAGCTGGTCGTCCACGTATATCCAGACCCTGAGAGAGGTGGTCGTGAGTCCCCTCCTACTACCTTCACTCAGACCTTGAGAGAGGGGATCTCAACCCTCCCAACCCAGACCACATGGGAGGGGCCCGCGGGCATGCTGGGAGTGACCAGGCTCACCCACCCAGTGGCATTGCTGTAGAAGGCGACATAGTGAGGGGCTCCGTCATCAAAGCGCCCCCAGGTCTTCACCTTTGTCTCTAGAAGCCAGAGTACAATGTGGCCCTCCTGCAGGCACACCTGGCACTGTTCGTCCTGGACACAGGGGACAAGTCAGCAGGCCAGGCCCCGGGACCCCAGTGCTGCAGCATGTGGGGTCACACCTTGGGGGCCGGGGTCAGATCCATGAGGTGATGGTGGTCAGGACCAGGTAGCACAGTAGGTGTGTCACACTCGGGGTGCTGGTGGGTACACTCAGGGGGCCTAGGGAGTCGTGAGCAGCTCAGAGAAGCTGGGGTTCAGACTTGGTCCCCAGAGGTCAGACTCAAGAGTGGCTCAGCAGGCATACTTGGTGTGATGGGGTGCTCACACACTCAGGGGGCTGTGCGGTCAGAGTTGAGGGCTGGAGGTCACACTTGGGGAGCTGGGTGGTCACACTCGGGGCTGGGTAATCCCACCTGGGATCGGGGGCTAGGCAGTCACGCTCAGGGGACTGGACAGCAGGCACACCTTTGGGGCTCGGTCACGTTCAAGGGGCTGAGCGGTCATGCTTCGAGAGCTGGGCAGTCGGAGTGCTCGGGAGAACAGCAGCCCCTCTGACTGCGTGGTGCGGAAGCCGAAGCCAGAGTAGATGTGTCCAGGGAGGGGTCCTACGTCCGCCAGCTCCAGCGTCATGAAGCCATGGCCATGGAAGCTCACAGCCCGTTCCATCTGCAGGGAGGGGACTGCTGAGTGCCCACTGGCCTGAGAGGACACAGTGTCCAGAAGAGTCAGCGGGCAGACTCGGAGGGGCGGGCTCACCAGGAGGTCGGCTGTACAGCCAGCACTAATGCCCGTAGTGTTCAGTCTCTTGAGGTCCACATACTTGCCCAGAGCTTTGATGCCCTTGACGCAGCCGCGGATGGAACCTCCCGAGGGGAAGAGCTGGCGCAGGCTGGGAGACAGAGGTCAGTCAGGGCTCGGGACAGGGGAAAGGCAGGGGTCAGGCTGGAGCCAAAGGACCAGAGGGGTAGACAGAGGTCAGTCAGGGCTCGGGACAGGGGGAAAGCACAGGGGTCAGGCTGGAGTCCAAGGACCAGAGCAGGAGACAGAGGTCAGTCAGGGCTCGGGACAGGGGGAAACCACAGGGGTCAGGCTGGAGTCAAAGGATCAGAGTTGGGGTCAAGGTGGGTGCACGGCTCCCCGGCTGAGGTGACAAGTGTGCAGGCAGCTCATGCACCTCACCTGGAGGGCAGCAGGTGTGGCGGCACCCCGCCCAGGAAGTAGGTGTCCGCCTGCTCCAGCATGTTCTCTTCTTCCAGGCTGAACACGGTGGTCCTCTCCACACGCACCAGCACCCGCTTCCGGGCCCCACCCAGTAGGAACACCTGGACCTGGACAGCACAGGCAGGGTCATCAGGGCAGCGTGGAGACCACGGCACACTGGGGGCTCCTTCCACCAGTCCCCGCACCACCTGCAGTCCTCTGTCCCGGCCTCACCGCCTTGCTGTCCGCAGTGAGGGTGGGTGTGGGGCGCTGCATGGGGGTGGCCTCCCTCAGGCCCTTGCCAAAGTCATAGAGGAGCACTGGGTGCCTCTCCCGGACAGCCAGACACAGGAACTGATCCTATAGATGGGGCAGGGTCAGCACAGGGGACAAGAGGGCTAGGAGGACCAGTGCCTGGAAAGGGGACAGGACTAGCTGCAGATAGCTTGAAAGGGTGTGGTGAGGATGGGGCAAAGTCAGTGCAAAGGGCTGACCCAGGGAAGGAAGTGGTGTGGAAAGGTCAGCCCAGGGTGGGCACGGCCAGTCCAGAGGGTGAGTGGCCAGCACAGGGTGGGGAGGGCTGCCTAAGTCGATGTGTCCACCACAGAGTGGGTGCGGTTAGTGTACGGCATGCATGGCCAGTACAGATTGAGTGTGGTCATCCTTGGAGATAGGTCAGCCTGGGGTGGGTCAGGTCACCCGAAGGGGCCATGGTCACAGCGTGGGGCCGCCTTGCCTGGTGCTGCAGGAAGAAGAGCACGCCGCTGTAGGACACCAGCCGCAGCTCCTGGTCGAAGCGCTTGGTGTTGCTCATCTGGCTCTCGAAGCTGATGCGCGCATAGCCAGTGCCGTCCAGGTAGGAGCCGTCTGTGAGCCAGGGGTCACCCGTGGACTTGGACCTGCGTGTTGGAGGTCAGAGGCCAGTGGAGGGGGCAGGGCTAGGGCAGACAAATGGGCCACCAGGCCTGGGGGCCTACATACCGAGGACAGGGCTTGTCGATGGCCGTGTCCAGCTGAAAGGTCCTCTCGAAGTTGTACAGGCTGAGCACCTCCTCATTCAGCGTGCCCACCTCGATGCAGCCACGATAGCCAGGGAAGTTGAGGGGCTCGGGGGGCTGTGGACCCCACACACAGTCAGGCGGCTTGTGGAGGTGCCTCCCTGCCTAGGGAGCCGCGGGGAAGTGAGGAGAGAGATGGGGACGGTCGGGTGCTCACCGTGAAGTTGCGGGGATAGCCACCCACGTAGAAGACGAAGTCGGTGGGCCGCAGGCTGAGCAGCCCCTCGTGCCCAGGGGCCTTGGCATCGCCCTTGGTCTCATGGACCATCTGTTTCTCCACTGTAATGGACATGTGGCCAAACTGGAGGGTCCTGGGCACAGAGGCAGAGCCGTGAGAGACGCCATGAGGGACTCTGGAGAAGAGGGGGAGCCCTCACCCCGTGGGAACCCCGTGTAGATGTGGATGGATGGGAAAGGTGGGCCTGCACAGAGGTCAGGGAACAGTAGCCACCTGTCAATGCTGACAGCTGCGAACTCCTCTCCGATGTCCTCATCGACGCTGAGCGTGGTGGGGTCCGCCTCCCCCAGGCGGTAAACCCAGTGCAACTTCTGGTCACGCAGGGCCACGCCCATGTAGTCACCACTGGCCTGGAGTGGGGAGAGTGGTAAGGCATGGACCAAACACCACCCTGAAACCACCAGACAGCAGCCCCTGCCTTAGGGCCCTATGCCCATCCAGCACCTGGTGGCTGCCCATGTACAGCACGAAGTAGTCCCCAGCAGGCTGGCCAGGCTCGGGCTCTGGGCTCTGCAGGTAGAACTTGAGGGAGGTGTAGGCAGCCAGGTCGGCCAGGTCCCGTGGGGTGCGCACCTGCACCCCCGAGCGCCCGTTGAACTTCATGGGAACCTTGACCTGGAGTGAAGCACAGGAGCCATCAGCACCCAGGACCTGGTGTCCCCCAACCTCCAAGAGGCACCTGCCCTGGGGAGTCAGCACTGACCCCTCGGGGGTCCCCATCCTCCACTCCCTCCCAGACACACCCACCCTGAGGGTCTGCGCCACAGGGTCCTTGCCCACCTTGTTGGCCGCTCCCCGGGCCTGGGCGATGAGCTGGCGTACCCTGGCGATGTTTGCGGACAGGGCCAGACTAGCGTTGTGGCTGCCACGGCCCTCCAGCAGGTTCAGCTTAGCCAGCAGCTGTGGCACCGTGTGCTCCAGAGTGGACACTGTGGGGCGGATGGCAGCTGAGAGTGTGGCCACTCCAGGCCCAGGGAGGGTGGCAGTGCCCTTCGCAGAAGGTGGCTGAGGCACACGACCAGTGTGGCACCCACCTGAGCGTCCAGCATCCTGCATGGCCTCGTTCAGGTCCTGGCCCCGGAGGTCTGCATACTGGCCCTGCCACTGCTCCACATTCTTCTGCATGTCCTGCACCTTGGCCAGGATGCGGGCAGCTGTCTCCTGGGCCTCGGTGGCCACAGTCTTAGCATGGGCAATCTTCTCACTTGTGCCTGCAGTGGGCAGAGCTTGGCTCAGCATCAGAGGGCCCTCAGGGGTCCCAGGAATAGCAAGAGGGCAGAGTGCTGTGCTCCTGCCTGCATGGAAGGTACCCACACTACCAGACCCCCGTGACCAGAACACCTGTCTCCGGGGGACCAGGTAAAACCAAAGCAAAGGAGGGGCTGTAGCACCTGTGTCCATGGCCAGCATGGCCTGTAAGTCCCTGATCTGGGCTGCCAGCCGGTCCTTCTGGGCCTGGGCATCTCGGAGTTTTGTCCCAGTGGGCTGCAGGGAGTCCAGCACTAAGGGGGAAGGGCGCTTTGAGGAACCTGCCCAGGTGCAGCCACACCCCCACCCAGAGACAGATGGACGTCTGAGCATGAGACCCGGCTCAGCTCTCGCAGAAGGCGCAGGCCCTGCATTAACAGCTAGCTCTCCCGTCTGCGGACCAGCCGAGGCTCCTCGGTCCTCCCGGGCGCCCGCTCACCGCTCTTCAGTCGCGCCTGCTGCTGGTGGCCCATCTCCTCCAGGTCTCTGCTCTTGGCCAGCAGTTGTTGGGCTCGGGCCCTCAGGCCCTGCTGCACCACCGTCTGTGGAGGCCGGGACAGCCTTGTGTCACTCCCTCTGACAGACTGCTCAGAGCAGGCAGGGCCAGGGTTCGAGCTGGGCGGGCACTCACCTCCCATGCGTGCCTGGCTTCCAGCAGGGCCTGCCCAGCGGCCTCCTCGGCGGCCTGCACGGCCTGCAGGATGCTGGAGTACGCGTTGGAGGCTTCGATGGCACGTTGGATGACACGGTCCTGGTTGACCCCACGAATGATGCTGGGTGGGAGGCGCGGGTGATCAGAGGCTTGACCATCAACTCTGTGCCCCTGAGGGCTCAGCCCAGAGTCCCTGAGCCCTTACCCCGCTGTCCCCAGTGGGCCCTCCGGGCTCCCTTTTACCACTTCCCCTCAGTCCTCCCAGCGATGCACCAGGCCCTGCTGTCCCTGCACGGTCCGATCCCCGGGTCGCACCTGGACAGGTTGTGGGCCAGCTGGTCCAGCCGCTGTGCGTGGGCCTCTGCCGCCACCACCAGGTCCACTTTGCTGCTGGCTGGGGAGAAGGCCCTGATCTTCTCAAACAGCGGCGTCTGTGCACCGTCCAGGCTGGCGGCCAGGCGCTCGTACTCCTATGGGAGGAAGCCTGTGACTCACCAGGACCTTAGTGCCCCACAAACTGCCCACCAGGCCTGTCCCCCAGCAGGTGCTCCGCTGTGGCCCTGGGAGCTGGCAGGGCACTAGGGGTGGGGTGTGCACCTCTTTGGCCTCATCTATGCCCCGCAGGAGACCGGAGGCGAGGGCCAGGGTGTCTCTGGCGGCCTGTAGGGTGGCCTGCAGAGTAGCATTGTCGTGGGACAGGTCCTGTTTCCGCTGCTGCAGACGAGAAGGGGGAAAGGTGAGGGGTCATGGGGCATGGAAGCCCCGGGGTGGTGGGGTGGTGACACAGGGTGGCTGGCCCTCACCAGGGCTTCCTCCAGACGGTCCTGGTTGCGACTGTTGAGTCCCTCGGCCTCGAGCGTTGTGGCCACTGCCCGGTTGAGAGCCTCTCTCAGGTCCATGAGTCCTGCCTCGTGCTGGGACAACTGCTCTCGGGTTAGCTGGGCCAATGCCTGGTTCTCCTCCCAGTGGCTGGCGAGCTGCTCTCGAACTCGGGTCAGCACTGTCCAGGGCCCAGGCCGTGAGGGCCAGTGTCCGGACACACAGTGAGGGAGGGACCCCAGCTCATGCCTGACCCCTCCGTGTCCCCAAAGGCCCCTAGAGGCCCCTCCAGCCCACTCCCTGCCTGTGATAGGCTACCCACTTACATCTCTGGGCCTCGTCCAGCTCGGCCTCGGCCACTACCCTTGGGGTGCTCAGGTCCCGGGCACGCATCTCTGCCAGCAGCCGCTGTACCTCAGCCAGTGTCTGACGCAGCTGCTCACCCGACGGGGCTGAGGCGTTAGTGGGAAACAGGTCCGTCTGCGCACCAAGCTCTGCAGGTGAGGAGGTGGGACTTGACCCTCTGTCCACAGCTGCTCAGGCCAAGATGTCTTAGCTACGGCCAGCAGCCCTAAGACAACCCTGTACCCCAGGCCACCTCCACTGTGAATGCAGAGGCCATGGTTCACCAGCAGCTTGGTATCCACCCTCCGCTCCAGCCCTGACCCGGGGTCAGCACCCCTGACTAGATGCCCAGACCCTGTGCCATCATGGTGACCAACCCTGGGGACTCATCATCCCCCGTCAGCCCCTACCACTCAGCCTTGCAGCCATGGCCCGGATGGTGGTCAGCAGTGCCTGTGCCCGGTCCCGTGTGGCCTCAGTGCTGGACACCAGCATATCTGCCTGCCCCCGGGCTCCCCTGGCCTGTGGACAAGAGGAAGGTCTCTCAGCACTTGGCCCAACAGAGGGGCCACAGGGGCTCAGGGGCACTGGGAATGAGGGGCTGGGGTGTCTGTCCCAGGACGTTTAGAGGTTCTTAGAGGTCATCAGGGAGCAGTGTCTTGGGGACGTTCTCGGGGGGTGGGAGGAGCTGCAACGGGGGCCTACCTGGCTGTTGAGGTGCTGCGTGTCCTGAGATAGGCTCTCGCTCTGCTGTTCCAGTGTCTCCAGCTGCTGGGACACCTCCTGGTGGGGCCCAAGGGGAGTCAGGAGCTGGTCCTGCAGGGAGGACACAGTGAAGGCCTAGGGTGAGAGGGCAGCTGGGGAGGGTCTTGAGCTGGTTCCAGGGAAGGGCAAGATGAAGGCCCTGGGGGAGGAGCTCAGCAGGGGCCAGAAGCTCCAGAGGTGGTCCTGCAGAGCCTGGGAAGAGGGGGGCTGTGTGTGTACAGCCAGCCCTCCCAGGCAGGTGAGGTAGGGGTGTGTGTGGGGGGGAGGTACAGCCAGCCCTCTTGGGCAGAGAGACTCTGTGTGTGTGTGTGTGTGTGTGTGTGTGTGTGTGTGTGTGTGTGTGTGTGTGT